CGTTGGGCGTAGCAGCGGGGGTGCTGCTGGCCCCCCCCGCCGGTCTGGGCGTTCGCCGCCGTCACAGCGTTGGGCTCCGGTTTATGAATCTGTACGTATGTATATTTTGGTACGAAGGGGCAAAATAACAAAAGGCCATCGCTGTATCCCTCTTTTCGTTGTAACTGTGCCTAGCCTAGCCTGTGCCTGAATGTAACCCCGCAATGGTGTTACTAAGCTTTGCAGAACAATTCAGTCACAGCGTATGCCCCCACCCCAATTAGAATAGCAGCAGGTGAAAATGAAGACTTGGGATGTTTTGAATATTTTTGGTCCCTATAAAGCTGAAGCACGTTAATCTTTACTTCATACATTCTCCTAACAGAATAGGAGCTGATTCAGGATTTTCGGAAACAAGGTCATTAAACTGAAATTATCTCTTCAGCCACAATTGCTCTATGTTACAACAGAAGAGGCTGATTTTTTTATGCTGCTCCTCTTTATTATACGTATCCTAAATAAATAGAATAGTTTTCAGTATTTGTGTTGAGTGTCACAGACTGAAATGAACGTGTTTTCTTAAAGGCACAATTCAGCTTTGTAGCTTTTGTGTCCACTTATCATAACAAAGAAGAGAAATAGTTCTTTTGTGCTGAGTAGGTACTAGAGCAAAGTAACCTCCACTAAGAACCCAGGTGCATGTCACCACCCAAATCAAGGGTATTTGTGAAGGAGGGGGCATTTCCAAGCAAAAAGGATTACATGTCTTATGAGAAGAGGTGCAGGACAAACATGATGGATATGGACATGGTGTGGAAAGCCAAGGCTGAACAAGTTTGAAAATTTAAACTCTGAGAAACCCAGAGTGATTCTTATGGCAAGTGATGGCTAAAAAGAAGTGAATGAGGAGGGGAAAAAAAAAAAAAAGCCTGATTTTCTTGAACAAAATACGGATCAAACAAAAAGAAAAACTCTGATAAAGTTTATATACAAACAAGTTTGCAATGAAAGTGTTCAGCTTTATTACCATTCTTTTCTCTTAAACAAATCTTGCCTAAATTTTGAGCTCTAAACACAGAGTTTTAAGAAGTGGAGCTGGTATTCATGTGAGAATAACTGAGAACTGTGAGATGGTCATCAGAATTTAAATCAAAAGCTTGAGGAAATTAAGCAGCATCTGCTGGATGGAAGGGTTTTTACGAAATGCATGACAAAGTACTTAGACAGATTGGGAAGTCCAGGTGCAACCCTTCTTGTCTGGAAGGGCAGGATGGTCAGGCAGCAAGAACTGTCGTGCTGTTCCAGGGCCATCCAGGGTCAGAGCCAACTCTTACATCTGTATTATGTTGCTGTATGCTAATGCTTGTATCAGGATCTTTTAGTATGTTGTAAATGGCACAGATTTGTCCTACTGGAGAGATGCTTAGAAGCAGCACCTTCCAGCCTACAGCAGATGGTACAAAGAGAATAGGAACTTTTGAATAATCAACATTTCCTTCTTTTATGCTGCTTTTGCAAACAGTAATAAACAAATTAGGGAAGGAATGATGAGAGGCTAAAGCTGTAAAAAGAGCAGAATCAGCTGTCTAGGCTGATGTGTGTTTCCATGTGCCTTTAACCCTTTTGTACCTTTAGATGGAAACAGATGCCTTCAGCTGAGTGAGCTGAGCCGAGGGGTGGCAGGCAGCCAGCCTGCACCCCCAAGCACTGGCATTTAAGCAGTCCTTCACCAGCTATTGGCACCCCTGTGCTATGCGCTCCAAAGATTGTTTAAAAGATTCAACCCTTGTAGTGGCTCATCTTCCATTTTGTCATGAATACGACTATATCCAGCCTGACTAACTGGTTACTGAGTAATTCCCATTGTCGTCCTCCTCAGAAATTCAAATCAGAACTAAATCCTTTTCCCAGGAGTCTCAATTGTTGTCTGTGTGACTTTCTTTACCCCTGATACTAGTGGAAGTGATATGATTTGAAAACTAGCTGCTTGTAAATGTTCAGTCACTCTAGCAGAAGGGTCCTGTCAAGACTCCAATGAATGTCTTCTTATTTTAATATGTCATTATAGGAAGCTTTTTGATAATTTGATCTACTGTAAGCTGTGGCATGGATCTTCTAGGACTTGTGCATCCCACATCTTTGCAACATAAGTTTAAATCATCTTTAGTGCTAACATACGGCACATACAGGACAACCAGGTGATGGGGCCCAGTCAGCATGGGTTTATGAAAGGCAGGTCCTGCTTGACCAACCTGATCTCCTTCTATGATAAGGCAACCTGCCTGGTGGATGGGGGAAAGGCAGCGGATGTTGTCTACCTGGACTTTAGTAAAGCCTTTGACACTGTTGCCCACAGCATTCTTCTGGAGAAACTGGCTGCTCGTGGCTTGGGTGGGCGTACTCTTTGCTGGGTAAAAAAACTGGCTGGATGGCCGGGCCCAAAGAGTTCTGGTGAATGGAGTTAAATCCAGTTGGCAGCTGGTCACAAATGGTGTTCCCCAGGGCTCAGTATTGGGACTAATTCTGTTTAATATCTTTAGCGCTGATCTGGATGAGGGGATCGAGTGCACCCTCAGTAAATCTGCAGATGACACCTAGTTGGGCATGAGTGTTGATCTGCTCAAAGGGAGGAGGGCTCTGCAGAGGGACCTGGACAGGCTGGATCAATGGGCCGAGGCCAGCTGTATGAGGTTCAACAAGGCCAAGTGCCGGGTCCTGCACTTGGGTGAAAACAACCCCGTGCAACACCACAGGCTTGGGGAAGAGTGGCTGGGAAGCTGCCTGGCAGAAAAGGACTTGGGGGTGCTGGCTGACAGCCGGCTGAATATGAGCCAGCAGCGTGCGCAGATGGCCAAGAGGGCCAATAGCATCTTGGCTTGTATCAGGAATAGTGTGGCCAGCAGGAGTAGGGAAGTCATCCTTCCCCTGTACTTGGCATTGGTGAGGCCGCGCCTCGAATACTGAGTTTTGGGCCCATCACTATGTTGAGGTGCTGGAGCGTGTCCAGAGAAGGGCAAGGAAGCTGGTGAGGGGTCTGGAGCACAAGTCTTACGAGAAGTGGCTGAGAGAACTGGGGTTGTTTAGTTTGGAGAAAAGGAGGCTGAGGGGAGACCTTATTGCTCTCTACAGCTGCCTGAAAGGAGTCTGTAGCAAGGTGGGGGTCAGTCTCTTCTCCCAGGTAACGGGTGATAGGACAAGGGGAAATGGCCTCAGGTTGCGTCAGGAGAGGTTTAGATTGGACATTAGGAAAAATTTTTTCACTGAAAGGCTTGTCAAGCATTGGAATGGGCTGCCCAGGGAGGTGGTCGAGTCCCCATCCCTGGAGGTATTTGAAAGACGGGAAGATGTGGTGCTTAGGGATATGGCTTAGTGCTGGACTTGGCAGTTAACGGTTGGACTTGATGATCTTGGAGGTCTTTTCCAACCTAAATGATTCTATGATTCTATAAACAAGATTTCTTTAAAGGAAAGTGGGCCAGGCAGTTACAAAACAACAATGTAAAACACCTGGGAACAATGAAAGCTGGTAGCACTTCTAATAATCATAAACCAGTGTTCTCTTTGTCAAAGGATGGGACTAACACTGACACTCATTAGATCATGAGTTCTAATCTTGACTCTGTCGGAGACTCCCTACAAGACATTGAGTAAGTCACCTTGGTTTGCTTTGACTCAAGTCTTCCCCTGGTAGTTGGAGCTGGAAATGCCCAAACCATTCATGTTTATAAGCCATTAGTGACCCTTAGTTCTGAGGTGCTGTGGCGCTGTGTAAAGTGGTTGTACTGATACTGCTCACAAGCTTGATGTGGGTGACATAAGAGATATCAGTGTTCTATATTTGTTTGTCACTAGAGTTTTAAACCAATTTTTTTACTCTCCTCTTTATAGTATTGCTCTAACACATCACCAAAATGAGTGAAAAGGAAGACCAAGGAGATCCAGCAGATATGGGTGATTTATCAGAAAGTGGAGAATATGAGGATGACTTTGAAAAAGACCTTGAATGGCTAATTAATGAAGAAGAAGAAGAAAACCTTGGTGAAAGAGAGGTATTTGTTAAATTAAATACTATTTGCCTTACTTAGAAGACAAAAGTGAGTAATATTTGGAATCATAAGCACAAAATTCAATATGGTTTAAAATGTGTAGCTATATTTACTGAATTTTGACAAGGAAGGTTATTTGGAATTATAGTGAAAAATAATTCAGTGAACTGGTTAGTTTGGCTATAATTGCCTTAAAACAGAACATTCAGTGTTCATTGAAAATACTGTGTTTGTTTCAAAAGTACTTCAGGGTTCCTTGAAGTGTTTGTGCAACGCGCGTTGTTCTGTTTTTATGCTGTCGCTAATCGCTTTACTGTGCAAGCCATGGTTAGTTAAATTTTGTGCAGATGTGAACATGGAGAAACCACAAGAGCGTTGTTAGTGCCAAGAAAAGCTATTAGTTAGGACACGCACTACTGGACAGCCTGGTTTAGAATTACAGTAGTTAGTACTGCTCTTCTCTCTCACTATTTCTTTTCTCTTTCTTTGATACTGTTCTTTGTTGGGAGAATAGACTAGTTTATTTTAATTTTTTTAGAATCCTGAAAAAAATGAAGAGGATATTGAAGCACAAATTGTTAAAGTTGCAGACAAGTTTGAGGAAGACAACGAGGAAATGGAAGAAAATCCAGATCAGCTTTCAGAGACAGATGTAGATGTGAAAGCGAGACCCTCCAATGAAGAGAGTTTGGAATCTCAGTCTGATACTAAACAGGGGGACCGTGCATCTGATACTGATAGTGAAAGCTCTGTCCAGGAGTCCAAGCTGGAAAACCAGCAGGACCTGGATGAGGAAGAGGATGAAGAAATAAAGCGTTACATCTTGGAAAAGATTGAAGAAGCCAACAAACTGCTGGAGGATCAGGCTCCTGTGGATCAGAACAGAGAACGGAAATTAAAATTTAAGGATAAGTTAGTGGATCTTGAAGTTCCTCCTCTAGAAGATGCTGAAGTTTGTAAAGCTGATTTTGCAAGAGGAGATGATGTTTCAAATAGGCTATCTCAGTTGCGTATTTCTAATGAAATGGGACAGGAAGGCAAGGATGAGGAAAAGAAGGATAGTAAAATCCTAGTGGAAAAAGATGGGAAGTTTGAACTCTTAAGTTTACGTGACATTGAAAGCCAGGGCTTTTTGCCCCCTATAAGTGTTTCTTTTACTGATATTGAAACTCAACATATGTCTCCAAAATCTTCACACTACGGTCCTTTTGGCACTGCCTCTGGAACAAAGGAAGCGCCTCCAGTAAGACCAGGAGCATGTTCTTTTTCTCCTGGTGGGGAAGAGTGTGTGTATTTCCCCAAGCCTCCATCTAATCCTAAGCGTCGTCCAAATTCTGCTATCAGTGCTGCAAGAGGCCTGGGAAGACGGAAGACTCCGCAGAGAGCGCAGTCTGCAAATGTGCCCGTGAGAAGCTCCACTTACTGTCTTTCTCCCAGACAAAAAGAATTGCGGAAGCAGTTAGAACAAAGGAAAGAAAAACTGAGGAAAGAGGTAAAGATGTAGAGGCAACAAGTAGATCACAGTGACCATCCTGTTCCTCTGCTTCACAGAGACCACATATGCCAGCCATTTACTCCATTTTTCTAGGATTAAAGAGGCAGCAATAATGATAATAATAATTATTCTCTGGAGTTTGTACAGAATCTCTCAAAACTCCTTACCTTAAAAGAAAAAAACAGAGTGGCATAGGATTGTGCCTTGCTTACAGGAGAAATCCAGTATTTATTTAATATATCCTTCATAAATAGGTCATCTTCTGCTGTATTGTACTTACTGCTTTGCTTATTGACTTTCTTTCTTACCTAGGTTCCATTACAGGCCCACTGTTCACTGGAACGTAGCACATGGTATCGCATCTCCACAGATTACACTGCAATGCAGAAAGTTAACATTAACCACAGTAATACAGGTGCACATTTGGGTGCTCATGAAATATGTAATAGGCAATTATCATCTGGAAGAGTGTTCAGTCGTAAAATAAGATTTACACAGGACAATGACTGTGAGAACTATGAACAAAGCAGGGTGTGTTTAACATGTATGGAAGATACAGTTGAGTTCAAAAGTGACATGCCTTGTTGCTTACATAAGATGGGTGCAGGTGAAGTCATGTCGACGGATAATGTAACCAGATACTTTTTTCCTGTAAAGGTTTTGCATGGGTGAGCGTTTTTAAGTTTTCTCAATGAATTTGTTGCAAAGTAGGTTTTTTCCCTCCTTTCTCTGTTAATTGATACTACTTTTCCTTCTTATTTGGTTTTGCCTGGGCACTACATGGAGGACAAAAAGAAAATGTTCCCAGTACTGAGGTTATTCTTCTTGCATCTATAAAGGGCAGTAATTTAAAAGAAAAAAAATCTATTATAGAATATAAAATCAGTGTATGTATTACTAGGAAAAACCCCCTTTTAATCCTCTCTCAGCTCCTTATTCAGGAAAAAAAAATAATAGGGAGTCAGCCTCTGACAGCTGTAACAGGAACTTAAGCAATCTTTACCAAAGACTGTTAAAACATCAGTGTTTTTCTTCGCTTTGCATTGTGATGGTACAGTTACAAAAAGGTAACTTACTGTGTATGTTGCTCTATAAAAAGAGCCTGAAACATCTACCATTTTTCTGTGTCATGATGTTCTAAGTAAGCTGGCTAAGTAGCTTCAAAGGTTGCTTTCTATCTGTGGAAATAGGTCTAGCCTGCTTTATTTGAAAAGCTTGCTGAGGCTTAGCTCAGTAACGAGGGGTACGAAAAGCAAAGAAAGACTTACCGATGCATTTTCTTTGTACACACAAGACACCATAGGCTGCGTATTTAAAGTAAAAGGTAGTGCAGTGGAGGTAAGGAAGGTTGTTTTCCTAACAGCGTGTGCTAAATCTCTTCCTCTGTTGGCTGACTTATGAGAAGGTAAGAATGTATTACCTTACTTCTTCATTCTTGAACGGAGTTCTTCCATTCTGTGATGGATCTCACAGGCATGAAACATTTCTTGACATTACTGGAATCCATCTGCTTCATTTTGGTGGGGTTTCTTTCATTTCAGTAAATTACGAATTGTAAATTTGGAGGATAGTCTGGAAGTTGTGTGTAGGTGCGAGAAACATCACCTATTCGCAAGAAGAATAGATTTCTCCCAGTGTTGAATTGAGTGGGGAGTGTAGCTTTTGTGTCATAGAGAATCAAAACCTGGTAAAAGGTCCTCATCGGCTTTCTGAAGTGTTGTTTGTAAACCTTTCTCCTCTTTGTAGATACTTGTCATTAGCTAAAATGCAATTAATAATTACAAAAACTTTTCTCAATTTTGTAAAAATTAGTTCATTTCGCAAACTTGAAAAAGTGTTAAGCTATTAATACTCGTTAAGTAAATACATTACAACTTCATGTCCAGAAAAAAATCCTTATTTGTAAGGCAGTGCCTGCAGTCCATAGGTAGTTACATATCCTTTAGGGTTTAGTGGTCCATCAAGCCTGAGAGTTTTATTCATTTTTAAAATGCATCAGTTTAAACTGATATTAAGCCAATCAATCAGAGCTATTAGGCAGGCTTAATTTTAAAAGTCTTGACCTGTTGCTACTTGTCTGTGCATTGAGATGTGTCACGGAAATGGAGGTGATCATAGAAAGGGTTAGACTGAAAGTATCTGAATGTAACATGAACTGCAGAAGTGCTCAAACTCATTGCTTCCTAAAAGTAGTATCAGCTATGATGCTGTCCTTGAGTACTCCCGTTTCATCAGTATTTTTGTGTCTCTCTCATATAACTCAAATGGCTTATTTATTGTCTATTGTGGCAATGAAGGCCTTTGCCGATTAAGATGATTCTCTTAAAAACTAAGCTTATTCACTCTTCATTCCTTTCAAGGAAGAAGAAAGGAAAAGGGAACAAGAAGAACAGAAGAGAAGAGAGAATGAGATGGTTTTTAAAGCTTGGTTACAGAAGAAGAAGGAACAAGTGCAAGAAGAAAAGCGAATTCGTCGTGCAAAGGAGCTAGAAGACATGAACAGCAAAGTAAGATCTCCCTAACTTAAGACTGGGATATCTAGTGCGCTGGTTAGATAGGAAAACCAAATTCTAAGCCTGTGTTGTTAGCTAAGCATATGAAAATTTACAGTGACAGGAAATGTTTTTGTTGCGTTGCTTTCAGTGAAGAGCTAGATTGACTTGCATGTTTAAGATTGTTCTGCTTGGCAGGGTGGCCTGCGTCGTAGAAGCTGCGTATATGAACTTAACAGCTATAAAACCACAGGAGATACAGTAATGCTTCTTTTTTATCAGGGGAATGACTTGATTGACTGCTGCAGTGAACAAGCAGCCAGAAAAACCATCAGAACTTGCTGGCAAACAGTTAATGCACGTGGCTTGACCAAAACCTGAAGGTTCAGATGCTCTGTTCTGAAGTTCCTCTGCCTTGCAGCGATGGGCTTGAAAAGCTAAATTCAGTATTTTTTGAAACATGCCACTTTGAATGCTTGCTCATGCTTATATTCCATGCCAGATTAGCATATGCTCTAGTTTGCTTACAAAGTACGTTTCGTGGAAGGGAGATGCCAGCAGAGTTCAAAAAATTATAACGTGATAAATATAAAGGTCATTTACTGATAAGCCTTGTGTATGTATGTCTTTTTTTAAAAATAGGACAGGAACAGGAATCCAGAAGAAGCCTTCAAGTTATGGCTTAAAAAGAAGCACCAAGAACACATGAAAGAAAAACAGATAGAAATTTTGAGACGCCAAGCTGAGGGAATTGCCTTTTTTCCAAGAACAGAGGAATGCAACAGAGCCTTTAAAGAGTGAGTGGGGTCATTCCTAGGGAATCATATTTGAAAATTTTTTAGTCTGCCCACTTAAAACTGTACTTATTTTATGGTACATCTTTACTGCTGAAGTCCTTATTGGTTTTGGTTTTTTTTTTGGGTTTTTTTTTTTTTTTTGCATGAATATGCCCTCATAAACTTATACCCTAGTAGAAATACATCAATTCCTTGTTCACTGTTGTGAAATTACTTGTTGGAACCTGAGCTAAGATAGTGAATTGCTTCTGCTGAAAAAGGGAGATCCTTCTCCCCTACCCCTTTTTGCCTGTTCTGGAGCAGGCTTGTGTTGATTCAGTTCATGAAACAAGCAGAAAGTTAATCCAATAAAATGGATTCAGCTTGAGTCCATGAGTTGAATCGGCTCAACAAAAGAGGGGAGGTAAAGGTGGGTGCAGACGCAGGAGAATTGGGATGGAAAGCTTCCTGTGCTTAGGAGTGGCAGGATTTTAGACTGGCTCAGCCATGACACCTGACCTTATCCTACAGGACAAGGTGACTATTTAAACAGGGGCAAGTCTCCTTTGAATGGATGACATAAAACTTACACCTGCAACTGTCAGTACTTCTAGTCCTGTTTCTCTCTCCACAGATGGCTAAAAAGAAAGAGAGAAGAAAAACGAGCAGAAGAACTAGCTGCTAAAGAGAGAGCCAGGCAACTTAGATTAGAAGCCAGAAGAGCGAAACAGATGCAGAACATCCACTGCGTTAGTTCAGAGCCTAAATCCTTTCGCTTCACAGACCATTACAGTTGAAAGTTTGATATAACCACAGGGTTCTTGGTGGAAGCCCTCTTAATTTTTATGGCTTGAGCTTTTGCTCTTTACGGCTACTGTTTGTGGTGTTTTTAAAGCTTTCAAGCAAGTTTAACAATTCACTGACAATGATTTTACTATCTATTTATTTGTAATTTTGTTGAAAAGCCTGCTTTTATGTGTGACTCAGGGATCTTCTTGGTTTGACCAAATCTAAATGAGAGAGAGATCTGTATGCGAGGGTGGCAAATACACATTCCTGTCTTCAAAAGGCACTTTATACTCAACTCTACCATGAATTCCTGGATGCAGGCTATTATGATGTGAAATGTTGAATTTTTGCTGGATTAGTATTGCTGTTTGCTGCTGCTTGTGGTGAAGACTGTACAAGGTGTTCTGTTGTTGGAAAATGCTGTTTCTTCTACCACTTTCTGCTGATCAGCTGTTCATTCTGGCTAGACCAGAGGACTTGTATTTTAGTCCAGGGAAAGTGGGCATTGAAGGCTAAAGTGTATGTGAATGTGCAACAGTTTCTGAAACTTATTAGTGAGTCACATTCAGTAGTTTTCTATTCCATGAAATTGAAAGGTGGTGTGAATTATGACCTTTACCAATATCAGGGAAGCTGGATTCCTTGTATACATGTCCATGTTTGCTAAATTAATTGTAATAAACTAAATCACCTTACCCAGCTAAATGGTGAACTCTTGTCAGAGAATATGCTGAGGTCACTCATGGAATCATAAAGTTAGTGGAAGATGAGGAGCACACTGTCCAGCTGTGTGTCCAACAGATTTCAGGATCTGGGACTGTTCTTCTATCTTTCCATATTCAAAGTGTTTTCTGGAAGAACTGTAGCAGAAGGAAGTGTAGCGGAGGCAAAGCAAACTTGCTGTTACTATTTTTCTCCTGCTATGTTGGAGACAGTTATAGGCATACGGAGAGTACTGGTGTTTGACCAGAGGGTGCTGTGTTGCAGCTTTTACCAGCCTAGATAAAGGGCATGGATGTGGAATGAAAGTTTCACATGCTCATGAGAAACATGAGTAACAGGCACCTTCCTCCTTCCCCTGACACCAAGGGCAAGAAGTGCTTCTTGTGTCTAGCAAGCACATGCGGGAGGGTGGGGAAGGTTTGCAAAGGTTCACGCTATCTCCCTAGTTGTAGTAAGCAACAAAAGTGCTTTTTGGGTTCATTACCTCAGACTGGTAGAGTGAAGAGCTTTACAGTTCAATGTCATGTGGTTCCTTTTACGCTGCAGAGAAAGCAAGGTCAGAAATACAGCTATATTAAATCCAAAATTGCAGCTTGAAAGCAAGCAAAGAAAGTTTATTGTAGCTTTCTTCATGCAAACCAAAGCACGGCCAGCTAACAGCAAGAACTTATAATATACATATTTTGATCATGGTATAAGATTCAAAGGAAAACTGGGTAAAAGCAACCATTTCAGAAACCCTTTCCCCAAACTAGACAGCTACATATGACAAATTTGGGAGTGAAACTAAGAAATTAAAATGCATATTGGCATCTTCTTACCTTTCCTCTTTACATTGCAACTTAAATAGGCTTCTTTGGATTTAGCAGATTATCTGCGAAAAGTTCTCTTTGAACCTACATCAAGATTATAAAACCATACAAGTAAAAAAATATATTTTTTTACCAGTACCTGTGCAAACGTAGTGCTTATCTTTAGCTTCCCAGAACACCCAGGAAGACCTTGGGCAAAGACTGAGTTCTAATGCAAGGTCAGGTTTCAACACTGTGTACTAACGGAGGTATTACCAGTCTGTCTTTGCTGAGGATCAGCTATGCAACAGCTTCACTCTAGAAGCTGAAATAGCTGGAAAAGCCATTATTTTAGCTTTATGGAAACACAAGAATAATCTCACCCCGTGCAGTTTTCCAGAATCCATTTAAAACCAGTTACTATTTATATACTATAGCTATAGAGTTCATGCAAGTTCTTTCCCCTTCTTGCCAGGAGGGCTGTAACACTGCATATGCTCTTATTTTCAGAATTTAGAGCTAGGAAGAATCATTGCACATGTTCCTTTTTATTACTAAATTTAGAAGGCTGAACATCATAGACTTGGGGACAGTTCATCAATTAAAAAAAACCCATTGAGCTGACCATTTTCCATTGCTGCTTTTTTTTTTTCTTTAAAACATAACCTATCAGCACTTCATTAACTTTGGTATAGTTACACTTTTGTCTCCCTCTAAAGAGAAATTAATTGAAATTTGCTAATAAGACTGTAAACCTTAAATAGTCAAGGGCATCTCTGTGCACTACAAACTGGACCAGCACAATATTTTTGGTCTTGCCTTTGTAGAAGAAAATAAGTAGCTTTACAGACTGAAAAGTAGAAGTATCCCCGAGGGTCAGGAAATCCTGTCAGTCCCTAACTTCAGGAGGTAGAGAAGCAGAAACTGCGTAATTTCCAATGTTAAACCCACCCATTACAGAAAGAAATAGGGAAAAGGGAAGCCTGCTGAACATCAACTAGTGCATTTCTTCAGAAAGGGTGCATGTGCAGTCACACTGGCTGTCTTTTTACAGGGCTATCAGCTCTCCTTGACAGTGATTGCAGCAATTGAAAGTTACATCTTCATATCTTGTATATGGGTGAAACCTTCCAATATTCTTCTTTGTGGAAAGGAAGGAGGGTGGAGAAGTCTCAGAAAAAGAAACTTCTGTTGTTGTTTCTGTACGTGCAGCTGGATCCAGTACACGTAGCACCTAAGGATGGAAAAATTGAGACTGAAAATGATATAAGTGTGATGGATTTTATCCTTCTCTAGCAGCCAGTAAGGATTTCTGCTCAAAAGCAATTTTTCAATTTTTTTCGAAGTTGAAAACTAAATATCCATCTGCCCTCAATATAAAGACACTAAGTACTGTTTATAAACTAGCAACATCCATCAGAAATCCAAGGTAAGATTTTATTGAGAACAAAAAAATTTTTAACTTTAGCAGAGTTGAGCAAAACCAGGCAAGAACAACACAGATCACGAGGCACTGCAAGGCTCCTGCTGCTCAGCTGTTACTCAATTGCTTCCAGACTGAACCGTTAACTTTAGTTCACTACTGAAACATCACGCTTCCTGCAGCAGAACCTTATCTTGGAAGACAATCTCATAGCTTCTCTCTGTGTTTCCACCCACTTTTAACAGAACTGATTTTTAGGGCAACTACTGCTGAAGTGTTATGACTTATTCCTACCTGAACTAGGTTTCTTCTCCCACTCAGTTTTTAAACTCAACTAAGTATTTTCAGTTGGCTTCCTCCTGACACACTAACTCTAAACATATTTTGACCCCGTTATTTGTGGTGATAGGGACAGGGAAGGAAACAGTATGCATCATCATATTAATTATGTTATTCTGCTTATTCTTCCAAGCTTGTTGTTGTTGTTGTTCGGGGGGGTGGGGTGTTGTCTTTTTTTTTTAATGAGGGAAACTGCTCTATTCAGCATGTTTCCTCTGCGTATATTTTTTTTAAAAAGGAAAGATATAAAGTAGTTAACATAAAGCAAGACATTTCTTTCTGGAAATAAGACTGTGCTGACAGATTGAGACATAAGAGTTCTTACCATTTCAGCCATTTTCTCAGCAGGGGTACTGCAAAACTCCACAGCTGCTGAAGTCTTTTTTGGACTGTTAGTGCCAACATTTCCAAGGAGATGCGAGCTTACAGCTTTGGCTAGCTTACAATTCACAGCTGCTAGCTCTGTTGTAGAGTAAGGTTGGGCACTGGGATAGTATGTCTGTTGTCTCCCCCACTGAAGAGAAACCATCAGCTCCTCCAGCAGCCTGTGCAGAAAGGAAAAAAGCACTGTGGTTTTTGTACCACATACTATCAGCACACAGCATACTTCAGGGGAATCATCTCTTCCGAAGACTTACTGCACAAGCCGAATGTTAACCAAAAAGGAAGTTTAAGTGTTTAAAAACAAGGAGACAAACAGGCTATTCTCCAAGGCAAGGCCTCACCAGCACAGTATTTTAGTACTGGTAAAACTTATTTTACATCTGGCAGGATAAGCATTAAAAAGCCAATGCAGGTAGAAGAACCTGTTTTAGGAGGAGATAGAAGAGACTTGAAGTCAAGACAGTAAGTGATTAAATAAAGTCTGAGGATATGAGGGACATCAGTTCCACAGTATGTGACCCCTAATACCTCACCATCTCCAGGGAACAATGATGAAAGAATTAATGCTACTTTGGCTTTTTCAGCTCCGAGACTGAAAAGTCACCATACTATCCACCAGCATAATTGATTTCTGTGGAATATCACTGGAATAGGGGAAAGTTACTCGATTCTTCTCTGGCCTAGAATAAACTGGCAGAAAGGGAAAGTTTGCACAGAGGTAGTCTGGATTAGAAAAAATCATACTTCTGTGTATCAATCATCTCTTGACGGAACTGATCGCGTTCATTCAGCAAGTCCTGGATTGCACTTTGTGCATCCCTGGTTTGACGCTGAAGAATTGATCTGGTATTGGTTAGCTCATCAGCCATAACCCTGCAAAAGAAATCTCCAATCAGCAGTGTGAGCAAGCAGTTTGAAAGTCACCTTTACTCTACTACAGACCATAATTTGTCAGCTCAAACTAAGTATTGAGCTGCTGTTCTCACCCTCCTCCCCCATGCAGGGCCTGTATCAACTTTATTACAAAGGATGTCATCTATTAAGAGCAAGTTCTGTTCAACTACAGTCAACACAAGTGCAAGATTATGTTTTGACTCGCTGAGTTTAAACAACCTTATGTCACTTAATACAAATTTAGTAACGAACATTTTAAAACACCTTGACTACGTGAACATGGTGGACAAGCATCCTGACAGACAAAGCTAAATACATTTTGTTTTACTAACACAGTTCTCACAAGTGTGCTGTAATCATGTCTTTCCGTACTCGTCTCTGAAGATGACAGCTATGGCTACAGCCTGCATTCATTCACCTCTCTGCCTTTCTCAGGGGCAATAACTAGGCGTTATGTGCCAGATACAAGCATTTAAGAGCTACAAGTGAGACAACTGTTATCATATTTTGCTATGCCATGAGACTTGGCACGGAGCCCTCAAGCAGGTATTTCAAATGCCTGCGATACTGGAAATTCAAAAACTGGAATGATATTTAAACAACCAGTTAGAAATCCAAGATCTCAGTGAGCCAGAATGTTATAATATCGAAGGGTGTTACTCTAAGCACATCACCACACTGTCATTCCTAGAAGGGACTTGAATCCCTGATCTCAGAACTCCTATTAATGCTAAGGAAGCCAGTTAAATTAGGACATTAACACTTGCCTAGCTCAGACTATTACAAGTATTGACATTCACTTAATATGCTGAAACTTCTTAACACCAGCAAATTAGAGGGAGGACATTGTATTCTATTACCATTTCCTTCAGGCAGTAAGGCCTTTTTGTAATACGCATTAAGAACCGTAATTAAAATCTAGTTAGTTATATCCAATAGCAGTAAAAGACTAAAAATCCTAGAACACTATTTATATATCTGGTAAGACAACTACACTTAAATTAGAAGTCTAACTTATTGTCAAATGAGATCTGACATTCAGACCAGCCTAAGATTTGCTCCTGACTTCTGCTACCCATTATTTTATGGTTACACAAATAACAGTAGGGTTAACCAAATCAACTTTTTCACACATTGATGATTGCAACCTACTTGGGGGGTGAGGTTGAAAAAACAAGCTAATTACCTTTAAGCTGAGTCAAGACAGCTGTCCTGGAAGACATTTTTAAACCTTAACCTGCACACACATCTATCAGAAATAAGAACTCCTCTTGCTGTGTTGACCAGAACTGTAGTTCAGATTTTAAGAGGTTCAGGATCCACTGTATTACCTTTGAAAAGCAGAACTATTCAGGTTTACAAGGAGCTTACTGTGTACCTTTTCTGTATACTCAAACCTCACAGTAGGAGTTACTAAAGCTGTTGTGGTTAAGTCATCAGCATATTTAGGCACATTCCCAGGCATTGCAATGGGCGTGTGTAATAAAAAGACTGAAGGAGAATGCTGTTACAACAGTTCTGTAAGAGGGAATACCTGCTTGCTAGGAATTTGCTTCGCCACACATCACATTGTATAGACATGCGCTCTAACTGTTCAGACAACTGAGACATATTCCGGCCCAGGACTTCATTTTCTAGGATCAGCTGATTTTTCTCACGAGCCATCCGTTCAAAGTGATACTCCAGATCGTCCCCAACAGAAGCAACGAGTAACTTCTTCAGCTCCCGATTCACCTAGAATTAGATGAGACTGTCTTGTAATTACCAATATAGAACAAACCACTGCCTGCTTCCAGAATGCAGCACAAGTTAGGCGATTTATTGTTAGGTATTTGCAGTTTCTCTTTCCAGAATGGGACAAATCCAATGCAGAGGATATTAAGCCTCACAATCCACTCCAGTGAGCATACGCATTTGAGACTAATGCATGTTTAACACATTCTTGCTTAAATTCTAACAGAGGCCAGAGAGGAAGAACGAAAGCCTGCTACAAAAACCAAAGAAAGTTTCAGTAGTATTCGAATCTTGAATCGGTAAGATAACAAAGGATCAGGCAAGATATCCACAGATTATATTATGTAGAAAGTTATAGTCACCACTTCTCTGGCATAACATTTTTCACTTAGCAGTTGAGTTGAGGAGCAAAATCTTTCCTCCTGAAAGATCCATTTCCCTGTAGCCCTCTAATATTTTTCTCCCAGCTTCAAGCCATTGATACTTTCACCTGTTGTCAGAGAAGCAGCGCTGGATTACTCAGATGTACTTCTACTCTGTATCTTAGCTGGTAAGTTCAAAAGGGAAAACATCTGTTTCAAGGCTAGAGCGTCACAACAGTTCTCTTTGGTCACATTCACAAACTGCTTATATAAACCAAAGCAGCTCAGCTGTGCAAGGGAAAATACTGTTCACTTCTTACCTCTGTCTGTATACGCAGCTGATTAGAGAGACCTTCTTTATCCTGTAACAAGCGCTTTTCTGAATTCTTTAGCTTTTCAATTGCATTTTTCAGCTCTATCTGTTCTTTCTTGGGATCTGCAGCTCCATCGGACTGATGGAACGTGTCTCCTTTATGGCCCACTGATTTTGCTACCTTAGCATTTTTAGTTGGAACAACATGGGTGATAGCTGCTTTGGGGACTAATATACGAATAGCTTCAATTTCCACTGATTTATCAGCATGTACTTTCCCTAGCTGCAGAACTCCGGGACTCAGGGAAGGCACTGTCTTTCTGTGTGGGCTGTGGTGGATGTGATGGTTTGTAGTGTTGGCCCCAGGGACTACTTCCACCGATTCAGCTGTCTGCTCTGTTTCCATGCCATCTCCAGCTCCTCGGATGGGTGATGAGGCATCATCAACTAAAATTTAGAAACAGCGGAGGGAAAGTTTACCACCTTTGACTTTGTTATAGTCTCATTATAACACTTCACTTAATTTCTATACTTCAAAGTCACAGATTTTAACTGCACACCACATGGGTAAAATAGTTCTTTGCAGCAGCAATTATAAAGAACAAGTTTGAAAAGTCCTTACTCAAGTGTGTATTGCTCATTCATACTAATAGTACAAGACACAGACATCGATTTGAATTGTATTAATTTTAATTTCCTGCTGCCATACAAGATTAGATGCAGACATGAAAATGAGCTGGTAAGGAGAAAATTCTTGACAATATTACTCATAGGTTGTAAGCAAAATCAGGCTTTGGGAGCTGACTGAATCAGAGCAGTCTCATTTTAAGAGCAGGAATCAAATGAAAAGCAGCTATTTTCTACATAGCTACTAACACCTTAAGAAGTTTAGCAGACTTAAGTACTATCTACCATGTGTTTTAGCGAAGGTTGAAGAAAAGCCACCAAGCCACTTCAGCTTCATTTGTAATCATCAGACCCCAGTATTCCCAGCAACGCTGCATTCTGCTCCAAATTCCCCAATATGCACAATAATGTTTACTGAAACTGGGTTTATTTAAGTTAATTTTTCAGCTGAATGAAGTATTTTAGTACTTTCCTCACAATGGGCGAAGGCAAGAAAGTTTCTTAGAACACAGCTACACATACTGCTTTTTTCCTCATACTGTAAGGCAGCTAATGCGAGCCCGCATCCTCTATCCAAATAACAAATTTCAAAAATACTGTAGCAGCACATAGAATGCCCTGCTTTCAAATTTGCTGAATCAGTAGCAACAGGTTCTAAATACTAGATGAGGACCAACAAGTGTACAGATGACAGTACCAGTGACAAACTTGCCTTTCAGTACAAAGCTGGATTAGAAAACTGCATTCAGCTGACTTTTCCATCCAGGCAGCTCTGGTTTTAACTGCAATAATAAAGTCACATAACTACTTCCTAATAGCTACATAAAAGGAATAAGTTTAATTGAATAGAGCCTGGCGTACAGTGTAACTTGAGTCTTTAGAATTCAAGTTAGAGTACTTTTAATCCAACCTGCTTAGATACCATGTGAACCACCTACCTTTTTCCAGAGATGTCATTTTCTCTTTAGCAGTCAGCTCTTCCTACCTACCTAAGTCTGAGGAGGAAATGAGTAGGGGTGAAAAAAATCTTTAGCAAGGTTAACAGTGACAGTTAATCTTGGATTACCTTATTTTCTAGTACAACCTCTAAATCCCAGTTCAGTGAAAATACCCACACCAAAACAAAGGAAAAAAACCCTCAAATGATAAAAACCAACTGGAACCCAAAGAGTTAAAAGGAGAAGGCCTATAAGACTTCTGGCACTTGTTTCTTTTTTCACTAAGAGCTGGACTTGAACTCCTATCTCTTGTTCCTCATGCAGTCCCAGTTTCCATTCTTCAAATTACTCTTTCCGTTTTTCCTCCTGTTTTCAGTGAGCCTTCATCTTACACTTTAAAACTCTGCAACACCCCCAGAATACAACTGCATGACCATGCACAGATAAGCTAAGATCATCACAGAACCACAAGAAAGGGAAATCCCACACTGTGCTTAAAGCAGACCGAGAGGTGATGGGGAAACAATAGCAATTTTTTATAACTTTTTTTAACAAAGCCAATTCCCAGCCAAAGCAGGACTCAATGCCCTGAGTGGCTGCACATGCTTAGTTTAAGCCAATAGTAAAACCTGACCTCCAGTTTAGCCCAAACTGCCATCTTAGCCATTTTCTCCCTTATCCATGAGCTCTGTCAACCATTGCCTCCTTTATCTGCAGGTGCATCCACTCACAACTCCCCAGGTCACTTACCTCCCTTTTCTAGGGTCTGCCACTAACTATGTTAGTTTGAGATTGCCCTACCCTGTTGGGTTTTTCTGCTTTAGTTCTCCCTGTTATTCAAGGGAGATCTCTCAAAGCCCTTGCTTCCTTTCATTATATCACTAACTCAAAAAAACTACAACTTTTTTGACTCCCACTGCTACAGCTCTCTGCCCTGAAAAGATAATGGTAGCAGTGAACGCACTACCGCCAGCTTTCTAGATTCACGATTTGTTTTGCGAGAGGTAGGTTTATCTTTTGTGATAACTAAAAGACAAGAAAAATGACTTTCCCTCCTTGAGTTTTCTCAAGCTACAGGTACAGGAACATCTTGCTATCTGTTGCTTCTACAACTGGAATTACGTTTTTGCTCATTTAAAGCCATGAAGTACTAATCACCACTACTGTTCATTCATTTTTGATTGAGGATCTCTACTCATTTGAGAACAAGGAAGATGCAAATGTAGCTGCTCAGATAGAGGCAAGAATACATAATAATAAACTGATTATGAGCATTTGGTCTTATCTGCTTCATCTGAGACCACCTGCTGATGATCCTGCTACTTCACTGTTCACGTTATAATACTGTTCTTACTGACCTGTTACTTTCAAAGTCTCAGCATGAGCCTCTGCACAGGCAACCCCTTTTCTTACATCCCTATAGGCAAAATCCCTTCACTGGTTGCATCCTTAACCACTGCACCTCTCGGCTAACGCCATGCCCACACATGACAAACAACGCAAGGAAATCCTGTATTAACAGGGCTGAGTCACGATCCACGAAGGCCTCGGAAAATCGCCCCCGA